GTCTACTACCTTGAAAATTTGTTTAGGAGCAATGTTTTATAAAGGGTTTAATTGGGGAATTGGTGGTTTTGGTCAGCTGTCAGTTTTGAAGAAACCTAGAGAAAGCTATATCAGCTAATGAATCATAATCATTGGCCTCAGAAGGAATTCAAACCCTTATTAATTGGGTTTCCAAATTGAAAATTTAGGGCCCCCAAAAAAGTTAGCATTATTCAGGAACCATTTTTCAAACATGGGGTCTGGAATAATTTTGGAAAAATTTAGCATTATAGAGGGCCCATTTACTAATCAGCATCCAACATTAAGGATGGGACACTTGTGATTCCTGCAAAAAGGGAGTTGAAGAGGACCACTACTGAAGGGAGGGTGGTCTCCGAAAAGGACTCCACTGCAGAATCTCACCATTCCAACGAGATTCTCCTCTATCAACCGCCTTGCCGCGATTTGTGGTTTTGTTGAATTCGAGTGTCTGCACAAAAGAAGGAACTCATCATAATTGCAATTTGGTGCCTACAGGAATGAGCAAGATAGTAATCAGCCCCTGAGTTTCCTGAAACTGGAAGCTCAGGGTTGTGGATGTTGTGGATTCCCCCAGTAGGTGGAAGTCAATCTGGTGAACGAACCCTAAAGATTACTGGCTCGTCCCTCGGCGCAGGTCAACTGTCACCAAGGAGGCGGTTCAGAGGTTCCACCAATCAGTGCGGGCGCGGATCGCAGGTGGGCCAATCGGGGCTGCTGGGGCGTTCGGACAAAATGGACGTCGTTGGCTTGGACAAAGAAAGAGAGAAACATCTCGAACAACAATGAAACAGAAGTAAGAAATGATAAGGACTTAAGAACGACATATAAGGACTATCAAACAAATGCGAGGAAGACACATGCAAAGCATGGCCATTTTTCTCTTTAGGCTCGGAGCTCACGCCGGACAAGGCCGAGGCGATGCCGGAACAAAGGGGCCCGGAGGCTACTTACTTCTCATAAAGCGGGTTCCGGGTTCCGGAAAGCAGTTTCAGTGGGTTTGGACATGGTTCGGGCAGTTCCTGGAGCCGCCGGGGCTGAATTGGGCAACGGAAATCAATGATCGACCGTAGCAATCCATCGAAATTCTTCAGGATGGTCCAGGTATGTAATTTGTTTGGCATGAGCCTCAAGTTTCCCTAAAAATCAAGGAACCAAATCATCAGCGCAAGCTATCCTGCGTCCAAACTAGTAGCTACCTAGCTACTACTAGCTTCCGTACCTGCATGACTTAATTAAGTAGGGAGGAGGGGGAGCGGGCTTCGATGTCAAGTCCGAGCTCGCCCATGGGGGCGGAAGACGACACCAGTGTAGAGCCGTACGAGAGACGGTGGTACCACATCTCACGTGCGAGAGCTTTGTACAGGGTACCTCCTTTCGCTGGCTCAGAGGAGGAAACTGCCATTTGACATTGGTTGTGGATCAAATGGATGATAGTGTCTTGATAGAGACCTGGATTCCGCAGCTGAAGTGATCACTTCCGAAAAGTGACAATTCTTGACAGCAGCAGACATGAGCAAGCTGAACTTAAGCTTGGTTAAACAGCTCCTCATGGTGGGATCATCCTTCTCCCATTGTTCGTGTCGGATGGCTTTAACAGACCGTTACCTTCATGCATGTCCCAGACGAAAAACCCAACGGTGCTGCTATCCAATTGCCGGCAGGATGAGTGGACCAGCTCGGAGCAGCTTCGCAAGGACGTGAGCCCTTGTTGTTTTGAGAGAAGTTGGGAGAAGGGAAGTGTTTCCCCCCAAAAAGAGACTTGGCAAGGATTGAGTTTTCCTCCACTTCATCTATAAACTTGAAGATCGTATTAAAGCTTCACGCAAATCTTGGAGTTCGTGCAAGTAGCGGATTTCGTTGGTTAAGTGCATCAAACCGCAGATGACTCTTGCAGACCTCTTGACTTACCTTGTGTTAGCAAATCGCCTGAATGTACCCTGGATAGGTGGCCATGGAAACTCCATGAGCTTGTTTGCTTCCTTTCTTTCTTCAAGCTTCTTGCTGGCCATTGCAACCAAAGTTAACATGCGGAAGACTATCCATTTTTTAACCATAGCATCTTTCATGATGGAGAAGAAACCCTACAAACATCCCAGTCAAAGGTGCCATCCATTGGTTGGAGATTCCCCATGTCGGAGATTTCTATCCATATGCCAGATCCATGGTGGGTAGGCTTTGCTTTTGTGTCGGTGGGTGCAACTGATTGACATCATTGCGGCCCTCCAAAGCTCCATGTTGTCGGGTCTTTTGGCAAGTGCCCAGAAGGAAATCCGTTTGCTAGGGAGCTTTTCTGGTCCTTCTTGTCGTAGGGCATGTAGGGCATGTTTCAATGAAATGGTTCAACAAACAAGCTGTATCTGCCGGCGCCCCTCTTCACACCGACAGAGACATGAGACATGGATAATATGAGCATTTCACTAGCATGTGAGTGGTGAGTTCAATGCACATCTACCGCTACCCAATCGGTGAGACGGGCCACAAGATAAGATGTTGGTCATGTTGCGTTGTCATGGCCCTCTGCCTAGCTACCTCGTTATTTCAACTCCTTCCCTGTGGACCTACACCACGACCAAGATGAGTACAGTATATAGATTGATTCGAGGTGCTTGTGAGGAGAGTAGGGGGTGATTCAATGTTTTCAAGCCGAGCTCTGCATGGCGCAAAGCTGAACTTCTGTCAGGGCTCTCAGCCATGTGCTCCTAAAGTTTAGCCAGTTCAGCCATGTTTGAGGATGCTGAGATGGGAGCATGGCTTGCTAGGTAGAATGTTCTTCACTGGATATGTCAGGACGTCAGGGCTTTGTGTGGGAGAAGGTTGTTGATGTGGGAAGCCGACTGGCTTCAAAATTCTTGGGCTAGAAAAAATGTTGGCAAAGGAGGATGCCTCATCGCTACTGCTGAACTTTGCGGAATCCATGGATGGTAGTATGGTTTGGGCTCGAAGGAGATGCACAACTAGATTCACAGACCAGTTGCTACCAATAATGCTTTTGTCCTAACTTGCTGAGAATCTGATTCTGGGATGTGGAGTGAATCAAACGAATCGGTGGCACCAATTCTGCAATGCGCTTGGAGTGTAGAAGATTTGTGGAGAATACATACACGACGACTTCTCATTGCAGCGTGACACAAACACATATAAAGAAAGCCAAAATGGACCAGCCCAAGTTAGATCTACTGTAGTTGGGTCGACTTTTCTCCACCGACTTCAAAACCACCACATCTATCGATATCCATCGTGACTCTACTGCGCCTGGGCCTTTTCGCTGGCAGCGCTCAGTGGCCATGCCGAGAGGAGGCGGTGGCTTGCGATGCACGGCAAAACAGCATGGTGGACCATGTCGATCAGTGTCACCTGATCGACATTGACCATCCCAAACCAGCAGAACTATAGGTTTGGACATTGGCGATGAATCGTTCACCTGAAACTCCTTCCACGAGTTCGTGCAGAAGGGAAGATCAGGAGAGGGCCTTCAGGAACTATAGAACTACCTGGATGGCTTCAGGATAAATCAACTACATAACTACAGTACATGGCTAAACGAGATCCATGTGTTGGAGAACATTTCTTGCCCTCAAAATACTAAGCGACTTTGCAGGTGCAAAGTCGCTTCTGGCAAACGCCCGGCGTGGCCTGCTAACTTTCAAAGTGGGCCTGGATCCCCAGGCTGTGGGCGCGCAAGAGGTGTCACACTCCAGAGGTTCGGTCCGGTTGGTCCCGCTCTACCAGGGACTGAGAGTTTCAACAGGGCTTGTTTTGTTGGCTCGGACCACACCGCTTGGGCGTTTAGAGATTTTTGCTTCTTGGGAGTGACGCCAACTCTGCCACGAGTCTGAAACGAAGCTGTCTGGGTGTCCGTTGGCTTTTTCACTGCACCCTAAGGCGGTGAGCCCTTCGAGCTTCCGTGGCCCTTCCTGGCGCTTCACTCGCCCAAGTGGGCACAGAAGCTGGCCGAGGAGGGGCACTCGGACACTCCAATCCAGTTGAGCAAACCTTGTTTCCAGAGATCTTCAGCAAACTCAGATAGGGGGGATTTCATTGGGTCCTGCGAAGAGATTCAAATCATTTGGGGGTGTGGGCACCGCACGAACACCTGTAGTTTTGTGAGTCTGATTTTTTGAGCCATGGTCATTTCCTGTGAGGAGCCTGAAATGGCAGAGCAAGTCATTGAACTGGAGGGCGAGGTCGGCGATTGGAAACGTCAAACATGGACGGTGTGCTGTGGTGTGCCGGCCAACTCCAGCAATGCAATCACTTCAGATTCAGATTATATATTTGTAATTATTTATATATATATATATATATATGATGGGTGCCGTTCTAGAGTTTTTACATAATGTCTATCTTCAAATCGCTTTGAGCTTCCTTTTCCCGCACAAGTCTGGAAATCATACGGTCGATCTTGCGATCGGCTTCCAACCATTGCCAAATTGTGCGATCCGGTTGGCCCCAGTCGGCTCAAACAGCAATGGGAAGTCCATACCTCGTGATCTCGCACCGGGACTTCTGCCCCAGCTGCCAGAGGGAGGTCGACGATGAGGAGATGATGGAGCCTCGGTCTGAGGAAGAGTTTCGTGCTACCAGAGGGCAGCTGATGGGTCGATGACGGCACGATTCCGTAGCAGGTTGGGGTATAATGGGTACCCCAAAATCCACCACCTTTTCTAAACCGACGGCCCATGACCGAACAGGGACACCTCAGACTGCTTTCTCCGTCCGTCCCATCGACCGAAGAGCGAGCGGAGCGGGGGTGTCTCGCTGCCTCGCTGCCGCGAGCGAGGTCAACGAAGAGGGGCTTCAGCTTCATGGCCTGTGTGGCACAGTGTTGGAGCGTCAAGGACTCCACTGCGAGAGCCTTCAGGGCGACCAAGCTGGTGGCCTTCAAGGATGGCGCCAGGGTGCGGGGAGCACAGAATGCTAGGTGTACTTGAGGTGCGCAGCTCGTGGGTCCCGTGGGTTGCTTGAACATTCACCAAACATACATTCCGGCACCAAGCCGCCCGGTCTTGGAGCCTCAGGGTTGGAGCCTTCGGCCTCATTCGGCCTCATCGCGTGGATTGGAGCCTTCGTGCAGGGATTGTTGCGTAACCATGATCAACCTCCGACTGAATTGACGGACATTGAAAATCATACCGATCATACTGGAGAGCCACACACGACAACTCAATCTTCGCAGGAGCCGATCTGTCTGTGCTGGAGGACCAGGGTGAGTGGCTCGCGGAACAGCTGCGGATCCTCAAATCTTTGCCAGGCGCTGCGTTCTGGAATTTTGGCGGTTCTGCACTTGCATTCATCCACTGGCAACTGAAACAAAAGAGCAAGAGTTGGTCATTTCACCTCATACTTCCCAGTTCAGTGTTTGCAAGAACCTCATATATCTCATGGACGAAGAGTTGCCATGAAGGGTTCGTTTTAGTTTTTTACGAAACCTATCACAATCTCCACATGTTTGAACTCCGGGGCGGTTCACGGCTGTTCACACGGCTGACGCAGCGGTTCACGCCGCGGACCAGGCGGCGCCAGAGAGACTGGGGCTGTGGAGAAGAAGCAGTGACTGGGAAGTATTATATACCTCGCTTTTGGAGAGTAGTTGGTGGTCATCAAACAAGTGTGGAGCCAAAGGATCAGGAAGGCATGCATGCATGCATGCATGCATGCAGGCAGGCAGGCAGGCAGGCAGGCGTGCTTGGGGTTCAGAAGGTGTCATTCAACGATGTTTACAGTAATTGAAATTGAGCTGACCATCCAAGGAAGATCAGACATTGTGGTGCAGACATCATAAGAACAAGAAGGTGTCTCACATGATAAATTACTCAACCTGTCCCTTTATGTAGGGATAGGATAGGGTAAAGATCTCTCACACTTCACCAGATCAGTGGGTGGTTGACGCTTCTTCATCCCACTCTGAGGCGCACCGACGCACGCGTGGGGCGTCCGCGCACAGATGCCTCCGCGCAGCGTCCGGTGCTGCGGCGGCCAGGGGAGGAGGGGAAGTGGAGACGAGCAGAGCAGCTTGGACCGGTGCGGAGGTGCTGAGGGTGAAACCGGGTGACAGGTGAAGGGGATGGTCGGGTGAAACGAAGAAGGGATGTTGGACCCTGTGCCTCCTGTTGCCATGACACAACTGTTTGGAGCTTCCAGACAGCACACAGGTTTGGACTGCACTGGAACAGTATGCATGCACATAGTGCAGTATATGATGCATCTACATACATGGTGTACTAGGTCTTGACGGGTTCGTTTCCACATCAACGCTTTCACTAGGTACGGAAGAAGTTGTGACAAATCCAGTGGGTGGCAGCTGATCATGCGATATCAAACCAGTCTCGTTTGGAGGTCTTCCAGCGACAAGCAGGCCAAGATGATCCAAGACAAACAGACCACCGTTTCCAGAACAAACCACCATCCTGACGATCCTCGCCTCCACCTCGTAGGGGCCCCACGCGACGAAACCTCGTTATTTCGCGGAAAACATCTCGCACGTTGCTGGCTCAGGTCAGGCGAGGAGCAGTTCAGCTGAGAGAAAAGATGAGCGTCTTTTGTTGAAGTGCAGATCTGTTTTTTGTAGCCTATCTTGGTGGCCAAGGGCGACTGGGGAATCAACTGATGCTTGCAGGGTCATTCTCATTTGCATGTTTCCGACCCTTCTTTTGTGTGGGCTGACTCTCCAATTTGACCAAGTCTTTCGCCCAGATTCTACTGGACAGACAGACCTCATAGGTTCTCGGATCGTTCGCTCTCTCTCTCTCTCTCTCGCGCGGCACGATCAGGCGGACTCCTTCAGAGCCTTTCTGAACTTCCTTCAAGGGGCAGAAGGCCAGGCCCCGTTCGTAGCAGCCTTGCTCCTATTAGCGATGCCCTTTGCTCCTAGTAGCAAGGCCAGGAGCCCCTAGTAGCTTCTTGTTCCTAGGGGTAGAAGGCCAGGACTCCATGGTTCCATGGCGGCGGGTTTTACTGCAAGATCCGGGTCACCGCGTTCAACGGGGGCTGAGCCGAGCCAGAGAGGCTCAAAGGCTCGGAGCACGGATTCTCCAAGACTGGGATTTCGCGATAACTGGTTGAGTGAAGGGGAGGAAGCCAGATCAACACAGTCCATCCATCTGTGAAGATGACCGACAAGTGTGGTGACACGGACACGGTGAGCGGACACCAACTCCCTTTGGTCAAATGGTTTTCGGAGGAACATCCAAATTCTCGCGTTCACTTTGGACGTGGCTTACACACACACACACACACACACACGCAGGGCCATTGTTGGATGGAGTAGATCTGAGGCCCTACAGGAGATTTGCGGCCGGACAATTTCATGGCAGTGCTGGAGTGGAGCGAGGAGCCGGTGATGGGACTTTAGCCCTAAGCAAGGACACTACTAACCGCCACTAGTAACAAGGCACCTTACTACTAGTAACAAGAAGGCTACTAGCAACAAGGTGCATTGCTACTAGTAGCAAGAAGCCACCAGCAGCAACCTAAGCACGAAACATCCAGACACTGCCCGCGTGTCTTTCTTGGGATTGTTACCACCACTTGACCCTTGCCACGTACCACACAGCGTCTGGAATCCTGAATGTTGAAGACGCACATGCTGTCTCCTGATCACCAAAGCTACTGTAGCGTCAACTAGCCGAGTTTGTTCTTGCTTTGGCAAAGGGAGGCCTGAGGCCCACGAAATTTGACTCGAACCCCTCCCGGCATGGCCAGTGTATCGATAAGACAGCGTTAAGCCATGTTAAACAGCCGTGGTTGGTTCAGGGGCCGGGGCCAACATTCCTGCTTATGGAATTTGAATCTATTGGAAACCCCATCACATCTTTGTCCTGTGGGTTGGCACTGTGGAAATGAGTTATAAGTTATAAGCCTTTGACTTGGTGGATCGATGAGGTGTCGTTGTCAGACACGAATGACGCACATCGCATGAAGGTTCCTCCCAAAACCAAACTTATGACCGGTGCTTCTGGAGGATTTTGGCGTGGATCACATTCGTGGCCAGTCTGGCTGCCATGATTCTGGTATGATCCACGATTCAACAGAGCATGTTTGGCAGCCTGGCTACTGTGCCTTGTGCTTGTAAACCGAGGGAAGCGCGACTGGAGATTGCGGAGCAGCATTTTGGCAAACGCAACAGTACAGCTCACCGGATGTCCCTGGTGACTTTTCGGCTTGATTTTCCAGTTCCGGTTTTAGTGAGTGTTCGATATACAAAGATAACACACAATATATACATACATATATACATATATATACATACACATGAGCAGTACTTGATGTTATCAACATGTTTCAAGCTGATTCTCAGGCAACTTGTCACTGCGCCTGTTTGCGTAGCGACTTTGTGATTCGTCCGAGAAGCGCCATGCTCCGTGAAAGTTCAACGTACCTTGGGGCCATCCTCTTTTGCGTATTCTTCTCTTTGGAGGGGTGCGACGTTGAGACGAAGGAGGATGTGGATAGAATGGTTTCCTCTTGGCTTGCCCTGGCCTTTGGCTTTACATTTCCGCCGCTTCTCTTTCTTTATATAGCTTGGAAGGAATGCGGCAAGGGTCGGAAGAAGAAGACGGACAAGTTTATTACTGCCGGTTTGAGCATGTTTGGACTGCTTTCTATCATTATGTGGGTGCTTTATGTGGGCTTTGCAGCTTCAAAAACCTGTGAGCGACTGTATGCCTTAGAGCCGCAGTCTTGCCCCGTGCAAGAATGGATTCGGCCACTCCCACCTGGGTTTTCTGCCGAAGAATGTTGCAGTACTGCACAAGTCAAGAGCACTACCGAGATTGATGCCATCAATACCACAATGACTACCAGCACGACAAGTGCGTGGTGTCCTCTAGGACTTTTTGGCGACTCTTGTGAGAAGCATGTCGCAGTCTTTAATGACAGCAAGCTGTGTTTGGAAGAATATGTCGATGCACCTCTTTGTGAAGGGCTGATCTATGCATCAGCAGATTCAAGCCTGTGCAGCAGCTCCTGCAATGCGTGGAAGAGAATCTTCGAAGCCACAGCCGTCATGTATGAGGCAGAGTTGGGTGACCTCATGGTGGACGCTGTGGGTTTGGCATATGCAATTGTACTAGGGTTCTATTTTTGGCGCAAAGGTGAAGAAGCTGTGGCTAAGATCAGAAGCATTTTGATCCTTTGCATGCTAGGGAATTTTTTGGCAGACTTCGTGCTTGAAGTGACCGTTGTGGCTTCTGTATCCGAAGCACGAGTTTTTATGGATCAAGTGAAGAATGGTTTCTGCTTCTCACAGGGGGATGGATATGATACCATCGTCAAGCTGGCAGAAGCTGTGGACTGGGTATCGCGCTTTGCTGTTCTGAACGTTGTCTTGGCTGTGGTGGGTGCTGCTTGCGACCTGGGACAAGGTTTTTCGGAATTGAAGGACAGGGAGTCATTGACTTTGACTACTCAAGTGTTCACTGGCATTGCTGCTTTGGCCGAGTTTGTCATTGGTTTCGTAAGCTTTCTTGCCAACACCATTGAGCTGAAGACCGGCTTAGAGGCGATGCAAAAGGCCGCCTTGGGGCTCCATGATTTGGAGCAAGGATTTGCTTGCTTCGTCCGCCATCCTGATCTACCGAGGATAGAAGCGCCCATGATTGGAACCTCTGGGCCCTTCTGGTTGATCGCTTTCCCTGCCATCCTGGTCGCTTTGTCCTTCTCCATGGTGGTGCCTTGCATGTATCGTGGATATCTCGCTAGGATTGCACAGGAGGAGAAGGACAAAAGGGTCAGGACAGCTCAAGCAAAGCAGGAAAGGGAGGACACTGAAAAGAAGGAGAAGGAAGACCGAGAGCATCAGCTTGAGGAAAGAACAGATGAGGTCAATGATCTTAGCGGAAAGCTGACGAATGCTGAAGCTGATCTGGTCAAGGAAAGAAAAAAGGTGGAACAAAAAGAAGAAGAGCTGCAGAAAGCCAAAGCTGACCTGGTCAATGAAAGAAAAAAGGTCGAACACAAAGAAGGAGAGCTGCAGAAAGCTAAAGCTGACCTGGTGAAGGAAAGGACCAAGGTGGAACAAAAAGAAGGAGAGCTGCAGAAAGCTAAAGCTGATCTGGTCAATGAAAGGAAACAGGTAGAACAAAAAGAAGAAGAGCTGCAAAAAGCCAAAGCTGACCTGGTCAAAGAAAGGACCAAGGTGGAACAAAAAGAAGGAGAGCTGCAGAAAGCCAAAGCTGACCTGGTCAAGGAAAGGACCAAGGTGGAACAAAAAGAAGGAGAGCTAGAGACAATGAAGAAAGCAAGGAGAGCAGCGGAGGACAAATTATCCACAAAAGATGTCGCGATCTCCCTTGTTGATGACAATGCCCTCCGGCGCTAGCCAGTCAAAGAAGCACGTTCAAGACTGCACTACTGTATATACAAATTTCAATTCGATCGCCGAGGCGCGTTCCCTTGTCTGCGATCAATCTCACTATTTAGCTGGCCCCGCGGCCCCATGTGCCATTTTTTAGGATGGCGCCTGGTTACCCAGTCACAATGGGACTCGCACTCAAAATTGAAATTATATAAACAATTTACAGTATATTTATATTCCGCTTTGGAATTAGATTGATGTTTGTAATCCATATTTTCTTACCATTTCAGCTTTATGTAAAACGGTACTTCGAGTTCCCATATAATTCTAAAAAACAATGCACCAAGACGACAAATATTATTTGTATGTATTTTGATGATTTTGTACTGCTTACACTTTACACACTTAATGCATATAACTTATAGTAGCATGCTTGTTTATGGTTAGTTTGTTGTAGATGGATTGTTATTGATGCTTTAGATTTGATATTTTGATGCGTAAATACCTTTTGATGCTTTTCTTTTTGTATCGACTCATCTCCCTCACGGCGTGTCTACGTGCGCCACGCGCGGCAGCTGGCCCTGCGCCAGGTGTGAGGCCTTTCTCTTGGACCCCAAGGGCCGAGACGCCATCGAACTCTCTCCCGATGAGATCCTCGAGGTGCGACAGAACGACACGGAGTAGCAAGGATGCTACTAGTAACAAGGGCATCGCTACTAGTAACAAGTGCCTTTCTAGTAGTAACAAGAAGCTATTAGAAACAATAAGCTACTAGTAACACGGGCATCGCTAGAAGGACAGGTGTTGGGTGTGTTGGGGACGGGTGGGGTGAAGAATCCAACGACACAGCAGCGACAGCAGCTGGCGATTAATTTCTGTGTATGGTTTCTTTTGGATGCCTTGGATGCGATTCAATAGATTGATGCCCCGCACTTGTTTCCAAGTGGCAGGCACAGCTGTGTCTAGATGCGAATGTTGGGATGTGTTTGAAAACGGAGATCCATGTTGAAACATCCTCGAACCTTTGATCCGGTGTTTGTTGCACACGGAGGGCAACAAAAACGACAACTGAGATGAACAGCTCAAGCGAATCCATTTTCTTTTTTCATCCGCTGCGTATGGGTTGGCCAACCATCCGCCAGCACGACAGCCTTGATGACTTTAGTACAATGTAATATGATATGATGATATGACATACTATATGCAGTTTGCTGAAGATTTTTGAAGGGGCTGTCCTCTTCACACACACACACATTCATGTGTTGTCACTGAGCACTGGCCCTATGAGAGCAGTATTGTTTTTCTTTTGGATCGGCAACCAAGCCGTCCCTGTTCGAGGCTGCTCCTCCCTGACAACCCCTGTGCAAACCGTGCGCTCCGGTCCGCAGATTGCTGCGCGCTTCAACATGCCCAAGCTTTACCAGAAAGCGGTGGAGATTACAGGGCAGGGTATGCAATACCTCCAGGCGTGGGCAGTTGTGGGGGATGGGTCCAATCGACTGGACAGCGACATATTGTGACTATCTACTGTGGTTGTTCAACAAAGCTTTTGCAAAGCGCTGTCGTTTGGAGAGGACGCCTCAATCCTGCGAGCGACTGCGGAAAGTAACCCCCAAGTTTTGTCCCGTTAAGTCGATTTGCTCGCTTTGATTCGCTTTGCACATGGGTCTATTTGTCGACATGCTGGTTCCATCCAAACACATAGTTTCTACTGCTAAGCTTTGAAACCAAGTGCACCCCTGTTGGGACACGTCGTCAGTCTTCATTCCCAGCTCTAAGATCTCATCCGTCGAATGCCGCAGGTGCCTGAGGGTCCCACCAGGTTCGAATCAGAGGCCGGTTCCATGGGCACCGGGAGCACCTGCGAGTCGGGAGCGGGGAGAGTTCGGAGGTTGAGAGGAGTGGACTTCTTCAGTCTTCCGCGCTGGCTGGTACAGCAGGCTGATCAGAGGCTTCAGGCTCTAAAGAGCGGGACAGACTCCTGAGCTCACCCTCACTGGGCCAGGTTGTCATGTGCCTCCAATACACACGAAGGCAAGAGAAGACCTACTGTATAAGAATTGAATATTTATATATGTGTTTTTTCTTTCAAGTGGTTAGGTCTTGTCAGGAGACCATAAAATGAGTGCTTCAGATGATTCCTTGGACCTGACTTGTGGTGGACATTGTGGGCATTTGCAGCATAGTTCTTCTCAGTATTGCAGTCTAGAAAGACCCACTGTGGCAGTATGGTGGGCGGTAAACATAGAGACGGTCGCAGCCTCCATCTAATCTGAACCCCCACAAAACGGCCGCCGTCTTCTGACGCAACCACTTGCTTCGAAGGTCTTTCGCCTCACCACCCACCGCCCCACCCGCCCGACTCACCCGTCGTCCGAACCGAACCGACTCGCAGGACCTGCGAACGGACGTCTTGGCCGCACACCTGGGCATGGGCGTGATGTCCAGCGACGGGGACCGAGGGACCGAGCGCCGCGACTGGTCCAGCCGCACGAACCGTCGGACGCGACGGCGATCGGTCGCGAGACGCGGGGGGGGTGCAGGAGATGCGCGTGCGGCATCGGTTGGCAGATCAGATGATGTCTGAAGCTCAGATGATGGATGCGTCAAGGCGTTGCTCTTCCAAGCCCAGGTCTTATAATGGGTTGGTCATGTTAATTACTTTACATGATTTTCAATTAGTTGGCATGTTGGTTTTGGTCGTTTGTCTTGGCTTTCTTGGCGCCGGGCTTGTTGGGGTCTCATTGTGGATGGGTATTAGGGCGCGAACGCCAAGTCATGAGTGACTACATGAAGCTTTCTGGAGTTTAGAGGCCATGATGCCTCATCTCGTTTGTCAAACATGACTGAATTTGGGAATGCGGATGATCAGGGAAGTCGAGTTTTCGTTTTTGGTTTGCCAACACCTTCCATATCCACCACTCTCACCCCAACCTCGTAACAGATGTTGCCCCAAATGCCACTGGGACCTGGTCATGGGCGCAGGTTGCCTGACCCGCACGAGCGGGCACGGCTGCTTTGGAAGTGCCTTGGTCTGGCAGGCTTCTGTTGAGTTTGGATGCGAGCAGACATGGCGTTCAGTGGCTCAGGACGACTCACGATGACCCAGCACGTTTCAAGTGGAACAAGTGTAGAAGCTTGGTCATGTCGGTCTGTCGGTCTGTCGGTCTGTCCAGTATGACTCAGTTCGAATCCCAGCACGAATCCAGGCACCGTCCGCGCGGACCGATCCAAATCACCCCAAGGGGTGCTTCGTTGAGCCCAATGAACCAACCGTCAACAGTTTCAGCCTCCATGCGGGTCACGTTCCTCCCCATGACTCCACGACCGAAAAGCCCAGGGCGCGGAAGCGCTTCCAGACACCGTCCGCGGCATCGGAGTGGGGTGCCCCGTTTCACAGCTTCGGCCTGTGTGGAGGTCGAGGGGATGAAGACCGGTCCAATCCAAAAGGACATATATATGCTTATTGTTTCTAATAGCTTCTTGTTACTACTAGTAAGGCCCTTGCTCCTAGCAGCGATGCACTTGTTACTAGTAGCTTATTGTTTCTAATA